ACAGTTATGTCATATTTATTGCATTCAAAAGCTTACTTGAATTGCTGTGGCCTGTCGCGGTGAAGAGCGCTAGCGAACCCATATTTTTAATCAGAACATCGAATACATTCTGGCTATCAAGAGGCGATGGTCAGAGTGTACGGAGACATTTGATTCCGAAATGATGGACACAACTTCGCTTTTCTGTGTGGATGTGGTGGTTTCGAAACACGCTCTTTGGCGCTTGCCACGTCCAGAGCGTCACAGAAAAAATAAATAGCGGTGAGCGGTGCGCACCAGGGTGGTCGGTGCGATCATGCGTTTTGCGCAGTTTTGTCCAGCTAACGTTTGCCTGCTAAGGATTTCTACTGCTTTGCATTTTGGTCTGTGCAAAAGTAGTTGAAATCTTGTCCAGCTCCTAAGTTACGAAATTTTCCACTAAAACCTTGTACGGTAAACATCCTTACAAAGTCGACCTCCTAATTTTCTGGTTGTTGGGTGGTTTTCGCGCCAAAACTTTTACATAGTTGTGCGTGAGACCTTGGCATATTTGGGAACCAAATTTGAGTTTTTGTAGCCTCTGCATTGGCAGAAAACATCCTCCGGAAATTTTCAGTCTCGTACCTCTTCTGCCTTCCGGGCAAAAATTTTTGACGCCAAAGCTAAACGTCGAGACCCAGGCGTGCGCCAAAACTAAATTTGAATTTGCAGGGCCGTACGTGGGCAGGAGAAATCTTAAACTTTCAGCTTTCTAGTTTTCGTGGTTCCCAAGATAATTCCTCCTGCCAAAACTTTCAAAGTATCGTACCTAGTACCCAGACTAAGGGAAAAGCTAAATTTAAAGCCGTGGAGTTGTGCTTGGGCAGGAGACGTGGCTGTAAAACTTTAGCTTCTTAGCTTTTGTAGTCCCCGAGATGATTTTCCCCCGCCAAAACTTTCACGGGGTCGTACGCGGTACCCAAGGACAAGGAAAGTTGAAATCAAATTTGCGAGGCCACACGTGGCAGGGGCTAGTGCCCCAAAATTTCAGCTTTCTGGCTTTCATAGTTCCCGAGATAATAATTTTTCCCACCAAAGCTTTCACGGAGCCGTATGTGATACCCGAGAGCGCGGGACGGCTTATTCTAAACTTAATGGGTAATACTGTAAAGGACAAGGGGGCAAAACACAAAATACTTGGAAGTTAATTACAAAATAAAAAGTATATATATATACATATATAAATAAAAGAATAATATTATTAAACATTATTTAAAAGATCCTACCAGGATCTTTTTAGGCGAAGCATTGTGAGTGAATGCTTCGGCGTCATGTTGTGACTAAAGTCAAAACATAACGCAAAAACTCCGTCGGGAAATATCTTCCCGTAGATCTTGGACCATGTTCCCAGATCGGGAGGTAGAAAAACTAGCGTGACTATAAACATAAGGAACATTCCATTCCCATATCGGAGAATGAAAAAAAACTGTTCTAGATGCTAATGGAAATTCTTTTGCAGGTGCATATAAGCACGCCACGACGGCAGTCGGGATCCAGCTCGACGTCAGCGCACTCGTCTGACTCTCCACGTTTAGCGATTTCGTTCGGCTCTACGCTTTTCGTGTTTCCAGTATTTGTTTCCATTATCTGCGCGACCTTGCACGGTCCTACAAGGGCACCCTTTGCTAAATTAAGAACTTAGGCTGAAATTTCTTGCGAGAATTGTTTTGTTTGATAGAGTATTGTTTTGTTTGATAGACAGCAGTCGGAATCCAGCTCGACGTCAGCGCGCTCGTCTGACTCTCCACGCTAATCATTTGCATGAAGTCGTCACGAAATCAAGTGCCTACCTTGCAGTTAAACCTCTCCAGCACGCATACACATATTTTTACTGGTAACGAATTCCTACCTTTCATGAGTTTCTGCTACAATACGGCTGTAAATGAAATGACTGGAGAAAGCCCTTACTTTCTCATGTTTGGAAGGGACCCCAGATTTGCAATTGACACCCTCATGTTACCAAATTACACTCCTTCGCTTTCAAAAATTAACACCGAACAATACAAATCACACCTGATTCACTCACTACGATTAGCCTGGAAGGCAGCTTATGATTACAACCGCGGAGCACAAACCCGCACGAAAGAAATTTATGATCGGCAAGCAATCAA